AGGGTAAAATATTTTGCCCCTTATTACCCACTTTTCTTTTCATAGAAGACTTCAATAGCTCATAGAAAGGTCATAAAAAATTTTAAGCAGATTCTAAATGTGTTTTCTTACGAAGATTAAAAACCATGTAATATTTTTCTATAATGCATCTCCAATTAAATGTCACTAGGTTATGACGTCATATATATCGAATGACGTCATTGTTGGGAAAGTGAAGTCAGAGACGTCCAATTGTCGTACTTTCTGCCACACAAAATGCAACCATATAAAATTAGCGACAACAAGAGGGATAAACCGTTATTTGCTGAACTAGGTTAAACGGTTTTCTGCCGGAGGAACACATGTGTCGACACCTTCTGTGCGATCATGTGCTGGATGGACATAATTCGGATTTTAATGTATCGATCTGATGAGAGTTAACGTAAGGGTACCCAAATTGCACCTATTTTGACAAATTTCACCTACGTTTATTATTGATCCAGACAAAAGTTTCTATTTTGTAGATGTATCCTTATTTACTATATAGTTCCATCAAATTGATTTTGAATCTATATTGAATCATAGAAATAGATGGGTTTGACATGTTTACTATTCATTTTTTATGAAATGGATGCACGAAACATATTTTATTTGCCCATTTTTAAAAGATTACTTTTTGTGGACGTCGCATGGCGACGTTTCTGTAGATTTAACTTTTCCAGTGAATAGTTCATCTGTTGATACTGTATACTGTGCACGTTTTGTGAATATTAAAATATATTTACCTATCTAAAAGCCGTGCATAATGCCAAATAAAAAATAAGACAAACTGTTTAATCCCTAAGAAAACTTGTAAGATTTTCGCTGCTATTTTTGCTAAATAGTTGCAATTTGGGTATTCGGTGCAAATTGGGTACTGTGACCATGGTGACGTTAAGCCCTTTTCAACCGATTTTTATAGTTTGTTCTTATGTTGTACTGTTACACCACTGTTCCAGGTTAGAGGGAGGGTTGCCGCCTTCAAACTGATTTAACCCTGCCACATTCTGTATGTGCCTGTCCTAAGTCAGGAGCCTGTAATTGAGTGGTTGTCGTTTGTTGCTATATATCATACTTGTTTTTGGTCATTATTTTGTACATAAATCAGGTCGTCAGATTTCTCGTTTGAAATGTGTTATACACTAGTAACATTGCATGACCTTTATAGCTGACTATGCGGTATGGGCTTTGTTCGTTGTTGAAGGCCGTACGGTGACCTATAGTTGTTATTTGCTGTTATTTGGTCTTTTGTGGATCACGCCACATCTTATTTTTATATAATATCTATCTATATATTTAATTTATGCAATCGCTTGTTCATTACTGCATCTCTTTCAAATAAAATCCGAAGATTATATAGTGCTTTTTTTCTGCATTGGATCTCCAATGTTACGCCATCAGGGCGTGACGTCATATATTGAAGGTTTGAATGTGACTTTGGTATCTTTCGCCTCTTTTTGGCCATGTGAAGTCGCAGACGTTCATTTACCGTATACCCTATTATTCAAAATGTAACCCAATCAGCAGCAGCCAGATGGTTAAACACAGTCGGATAAATAAATGAATGTATTGGCTAAGGTCCAGTAACAAATGCTACATGCATATTAAGGACCAAAACAATTTAACGATAGATGTAATTGGTAGGCTGGTCATAATTGAATAATTATTCTTGTTGAAACTTTTCAAAGCTGCCAATATTCAAAATTGCCAAGACGTTAGAAACTGCACAATATTGTGCGACGTTGGCGTTCTAATACCGTTTTCACATAATGTCTTTTTTTAAAGGTTTATAACAAAATGGAACCGTATCATCAGTGATTATTCAGGGATTTGGTCAAGTATGCATAATTGATGTCACGACGCAATTTTTTTGGGGTTAATATGTATAAACAACCTTTTATACAAGAAATTTGGATACAAAAAAAAGCAACAAAAAAAAACAAAAAAAACCACAAAACAAAATAAAGATTTGATGCATGAACACCAGTGCAAGGTTTCGTGCACTTTTAAAATAAATCAAAATACTAAAACAACAACGATTTTGTTACGTTTTTTCTGTATCGATCTGATGAGAGTTAACGTGAGGGTACCCAAATTGCACCTATTTCATCTTGAATTTGTAAGTTGTTTCACATAATTATTGTACACGCAAAACGAAAACCAATCATAACCTTTCCACAAAAATAATTCCTTGTTAAAATCTACTAGAAAAAAAATTAAGCCCACGTCGGAGACTTTTACAGCACTGCAGATTCAAAATTACTTTTTTTTCTGCAAACTGTCGGCACAATCTTTATTCATTCCGTTGAGTTCTCTTTTTTTTTATTTCTCTAATTGAACTATACACCTTTTTAATGATAAGAATTAACCAAATACTAATCTAAAGCAGTTTGCAGATAAAAGCAAGCCAAAAGATGAACATCCTTTTGGTTTGGAGGTTTAAGTCCTAGTGAAAATGTATAAACAACCACTGCTAAAACATTTTGCAATAATCTCTTAGTGGATGTTTTCTTTTACTATTACTAGCTTCATTTGTATGAGGCTCAAGCTGGCAGCCACTTTTAGCAGCCGATTAAGCCACGCTGCCACATTTTTCCAGCAGCCAATTGCAGTTTTTATAATATGTTTAAAATTTTTAAAAAAATGTATACGACTCAAACGTTCCTAAAATATTAAAATCTTAACTACTTGTCACTATAATACAACGGAATTCGACATTTTCCCGTCTTGACCTGATTGATAAGATAACAATTCATTTATATAACAATGATACCAGTAGCAACTTTTTCGGAGGCCAATGTTTATTATTTTATACAAACACATGTACACTATAAAGTCATGTTTTCCTCTCTTTTTCTCGTTTCTTTTTTACTGAAGATTAGGAGGTACAGAAACAACGTGAAAATAGAAAATAAGATAATCTACGAATAACGAGCAAATTTGCTATTATATTTATATGTTTTCATTAAAAGGAATAAGAAAGATGCAGTGTATAACAGAAAAAACTACAAAATCCCGTATTTCAGTTAAAATCTTTTTTAATGATGCCTCGTTCACACGTACATTTAATTCGAATTGAATTCGAATCGAATGCGAATCGAATTCGCTAATCGCGTTCACACACTCTTCTTTTTTAATTCGAATTGATTCGAATTGGCTAAATCGCATTATCCAATTCGCATTAGAAATGCGTTTTTGTTAATACGAATTAAAAGTTAACGTCGTTCGGATAGTAAAGCGTATTGCAATTCGAATTAGAAATTACGTTTGGACGTAAAACGTTTCGAATGCGAATTAAACTAATTCGAATTAGTAAATGCGAATCGAATTCGAATTACGTGTGAACGCAGCATAAATATCTCCTATACACGAAATGCAAACATTTGGTGATACATATTGTGTGAATAATTTTTTTTTTAAATGAGACAGTACATTCAATGAAAATCCTACGAAGAATTATATTTTGTCTAAATAAACACGATATGCAACATTACCAAAAAGTGAAATAACAAAAATACCTAACTCCGGGGAAAGTTCTAAACGGAAAGTCCCTAAGCAAATGGCAAAATCAAAAGCTCAAACACATCAAACGAATTTATTGATTGTACCAGTACAAATGATAGACACATGACTTAGATATTGGCATACAGCCGTGCACTAATGGTGCATTATTCACATAGGCGTTCAGATTAAAATTAAGATTAAATACATGGTAAAACATTTGCAATCTATCCCAGGCGCATATTTAAATCCCTGTGGTTTCCAGACGGGCCCGGATTCAATTATATTTAAGGGAGCAATGGCTTCGATTAATACGTTTGAAATGAGCCACGTCTGATTGAGAACTTACATATTTGGTGCTCCTCGGCAAGTCCCTACGGCAAACTTTAGAACCAGACATTTCAAAGGTATAGACCGAGGGCATTGGCCACTTGAATATCGTCTTGAGAACTTGACCCTTCTTGACTCCACAGATGTCTAAAAGTTGACCGTAACGTAGTTTCATATCAACCACACATTCTTTTGATACAATAATACTTCTCGCCAAGTCCCTGCGGCAATTTTTTTATGGAAAGGAAAACCAGATAAAGTGAAGAGAACAGTGATAATGTTCCAACACTGTGATGGCGGTCTTAAGATGCCTAATATTTACTAGTTTTGCTATAGTGTAAAAATGTCTTGGCTGTATAAATTATTAGACCCACAAAATTACTCCTCTTGGAAAGTTTTGCTGCTTAGTTATATACATAAATTTGGGGTGACAAAATTTTACACTTAAGTCAAGATGGATTGCTTTATTTAGTAAAAAAGGTCAATCCCTTTTGGCATGATATTCTGGTAAATTTTTTCAAGTTGCAAAATAAGTTTAAAGTTGAAAACAATGCTGATATTCTGGCCAAGTCCATATGGCTGAACCAAAACATCAAGATGATTTTTAAGTTTAAATATATTGAAAATTGTGTATTTTTTATTAATGATCTGGTGTCAGATAATAATACATTATTCTCATATTGAGAATTTTAAAAAAGTATAATATCAATACTAACTTTGTAGAGTTCTATGGTATTATGAGTGCAATTCCAAATAGATGGAAAAGTATAATAGAAGGAAGCTCTAAATCGGATAATATTGATAATAAATTGGTAGATAAAATTAAAAAAGAACCAAAATCTTGTAAATTTTTCTATAAATTATTTTTGGAAGATAATAAAGTGTTAGCTTTATCTTCCCGTAATAAATGTGAAATAGATTTAAATATGCAGATCAAAGATTGGAATACTATTTACTCCATGCCTTTTATTATAACCAGAAATTCGTTTTTACAAAATATTCAGTTTACGATTGTTCATAGAATTTTACCATGTAATTCATTTTTATTGAAATGTAAATTAAAAGAAACTGAACTGTGTACATTTTGTTCAGATATCAGAGAAAATATTTTTCACATTTTTTTGGAATGTAATGTTACACAAAATGTCTGACTATCCATTATAGACTGAATTAGAAATTATGACATTGTCTTGCCTTTCAGTGCAAAAGAAGTCATTTTAGGTGTGTCTGAGGATTTTGTCAACAGTAAAACCGTTAATAATATCTTGTTGTTATTTAAATACTATACATACAAATGTAGATGTAAAAACATATTCCCCACAAAATATGGGGGGATAGAATATTTAAAATATATTATTAATATAGATAAATACTCTGTATGTTTCTTAACCCCTGCACAAAAAGTAAAAATGGATCAGAAGTGGCAATTGTTAGAAGCAGCATTTAATTAACAAGATCAATTGTAATATTTATATCTTATTATACCATTATGATTTGATCGATCTTACAAGTGTTACTTAATTATTTATAATTGTGTCTAATACTGTAGTATGTAATTTCACATGTTTCATCTTGAAAAATAAAAAAATTACAATACAAAAAAAAGTCCCTGCGTCACAGTTCGGAACTAGAATTTTGATAAAGGTAAATAATCCTTTTGGGTACTGTTTTGTATCGTTACTATTTGTAAATTGGCCATTTTAGATCAAATTGGTCACTTTCACTTAGTAGTGACATCTCCACTGACATTTTGTAATTGAAGAGTCCAGATTTGATTTTGTACTTTACTACCAAATCAATAGAACCATCATAATTTTGAAAGGCTTCACGATTTTAAAAGTAATAACTCATTTGTTAATTAACTCGGAACACCAATAATACACCATTGGCTTTTCTAACATTGCTTCCAATAAATATCAATGTTTGTGAATGAAGTTCATTTTGTACATTTTCTAACATGATTATTAGTAAAGTGATTGTTAAGTTGGTTGCAAAACATGAAGTAGCATCAAGTTCTTCATAATATTGGGTTTATTGAAAGATTGAAATCTGATAATTCCCATTTTTTTTCTTTTACCTAGAGCCTGTCACCGTGCATTTATTCGAGGAAGTGGACTCCGCCTTTTCTGTTTTTGTAGGAGGGATGATGGAATTCAAGACGGAAATATCGTTAAATATTAGTCACTGGACGCCAAACAATCAATCATTGAATTACTCAATATGAAAAATTCGTCTCTTTGCGTTATGCACTTTGTCTATCAATAAATCATTCCATCAACCAATCAGCTAATCGAACAATTAATCAAAACACCTACCAATCAAACAACCAATCGATTGAAGAATTTGTCACTTGTTTTACACAAGCAGTTATCAACCAAAAATCATGTTTAATTTAGAAAATATTGAAAGACTTTCAATTCCAATTGTTGCTAAGATGTTATTTGTTAAAACAAATATTTTACATTATTTTTTTGGTAGTCATGTTTTAAAAGCTATAAGTACCAAATAATTCAATCATGGAATTCAAACTTTTGAGATGATCCCTGATTTAAATGTATCGATTCTAGACTATCAACTCTCTCTCAAGTGTCAATTGTAAACATTTGTCTAACATGTCTAGAATCATCTCAAAAGTATGAATTCCAGGATTATTTGTTTTTGACCTAATATGTTAATTTTGACAAACCATGTCTGTTTATTGAAGTTTGAGGCTGATAAATAAATTCAAAAAGACCAAAAGTATAGCCAAAATAGACTATTTTTCACAAGACACGTTGTTTTACTGTTCTGACGTTTCATTGTTTTATTAAAAAATATAGCTCACACTAAATGAGATCTACAGGAGTTTGAATGGTTTGTGGTTTAATAACTAGGAAAAAAGCATTCCGATATGATACCGGATGTGATGTGTAAATGAATCTACAGATGTTCAATTAAAGGCAAGATTTTCGGGCAAATATATTTCATTATGAATTTACGCTTTGGTGTTTCATTTCAGCTTGAATAAAGTTGATGCTATAGAAAAGTATGACCTTGGCTTTATGGTTCGGAAACAATGAACTTCTATACGGTATGAATTTTTCTCATTGTTGAAGGCCGTACGGTTGCCTGTAATTGCTTACATCCACTTCATTTGAACTTTGGTGGACAGTTGTCTTATTGGCAATCATACCACATCTCCTTATGTTTATATTCATCAACAAGTAATCAAATATCTTCTGCCTATCAAATCTGTCAATCCTGATCATCTATCGTTTTAGACCAATCTGCAGTGCGATTATTGCGTCTTGCGAAGCTAGGTGTGCTTACCCTTTAGCACCTGTTAGCTCCCGGTTATAAAGCGAGTGTCCGTTGCAAATAATTTTCACGTCATATTTTTTCAGCGGGATTACATCTTTCTTTGTTTTTCGACATTCCTTTTATGTAGTTTTGGAAGATCTGTATGTTTAATTCAGATTTTTCTAATACGAGGTTGGTCTATGATTTCAAAAGGAGAATATTTTTTCATACATTTATGCAGTTTTAATTTATAATTTTACATTAAAAGACAACAAAGGTCTGGCTGGAACATACATATCTGTAGAAAAATAATATATTGAACGTTTATAAGAAGTTATAGAACTTTAAAAGTAACTTCCTGTGCAGAAATCGATCAGGGCACATTGTGACCCAGAACAAAGTACAGCCTGGGTATTCAAGCTTTATCCTTGGGCAAAGTTTAGTTAGAGACATTATAGAGAGTTTAAGAGTTAAATGTTTTAAGAATATATGGAATAAAAAATCTTGATCATTGTTATTAGGGTACATTGCCTGCCATTCTTAAATGACTCATACAATATTGTTTGCTTAACGTCCACTGACAATTTTCATAAATATTCCTTATGCGTCTATTGTTATTTCAAATGCCGTCCGTTTTTACTGCGTTTAAACCTTAAACAAGTATCTATTTTAATCGAATTAGTATCGTTTTTTTTAATTTTATAACGACACTTGTGTACTAAAACAAATTTTTTTCTCTTATAATCCATTAACAATCTTATATTTTAGTTTTTCAACGTTTTCGATCTATAAGTTTGTTTCAGTATAGATAAAATGAAGCCAACAAACTTGGATAAAACCTGTTTCTTTATAAAGAAAAATTATAGCATATAAGTTTTGACCGTTTCTGTACTTCGAGTCTTAACATTTCCCGTTACGACAGACTGCTCTTCTGAGGTCTCTTCTTCATATTTGCCTTTTATGTAGAGTGTGCTAACATATAGACCACGCATCGAACTTGCCAACCAAAATATAGCAGATTTCCGATTGCCTTACATCGGAATTGGGGCTTCATCCTCCTAATATACCAGATACATAATACCGTATTATCGTTTTTTTTTTTTGGTAGTATACTTACAAGACAGAGTAGTTCAAATACCACTCAACACAAATTCTATGAATCAAATTGTCTAATTCGATGTTTAGCTTTGTTGGATTATTAGGTAGTCAAACTAATAGGTGTCAACCAATGTAATGTTGAAATATCGGGGCAACTCCGGGTTACGTATTTTTTTAATTCAACTTAGAGACAAGAAAAATCCACCTGGCTCCCTGACGAGAAAAGGTCAAAATTTACAACATTTGGATAACATAACCTTGAATAACAATGATAACATAATTCAAGAGACTGATTAACTTTGTAAGCCTTTTAAGTCTTTGTAATGTCATTTACCTTTATTTCAAACAAGACAATTAACATTTTATTTCCGCAATTGACAAATCATTTTACGTGTTATAGCCTTTCAATTGATTAAGGACTAAATATACAATGCTTCCAGGCATGTCCAGAGATTGCAGGGAGCTCTCATTGTTTTTATCAAGTTATCATATGATGTCAAACCTACATGATCTAACAATATACCTCTGATAATCTTTGGGATAACTTCTTCCTGCTCAGTTTCAAGTCCAGAATTGTCTTCTTTTTCTAAAAGGAGAACAGAATTCTATCATACAGTCTCTTAAACATTTGTTATTAGAAATTATCATGCCACACGTTTGTACATAAGACAAGTTAGTTGCACTTGAATCAAACCGCTTGAAGGCCAAGGCAATGACGAAGTTGAAGAGCACTTAAAACCAATACTCTAAAAACAAAATAGTGTAAATTGACAATATGCTTTGGTTTTAAAACCTAAGGTGTCCTGAACAAACGTTTTTTTTTTCTATATAATTAAACTCATTTCAGCGATCACCTGTCTAACGCGGTCAGCGGTCACCTTGTAATTGACTGTACTGATTTTTACTTGACAAGTCTAAGTTGGTTTGAATTTTACCCGATATTACTTGACCTCAGTCTTAACTGTACTCCACTTTAATGATTTGTACTTGACCCTTATCTTTGTCATTGACAAAAGTCTGAACTATTACGTGACCTGTTTGTAAAAGTCTTAACACATTCTCGACCTGTACTCGACCAATACTCAGCCAGTTCTCAACCAATCAATCCTTTTTTTCAGTCTGAACTATAATCGACCAAAGGTCTGAATCAAACTCGACCAGAGTTTACTCGACCAGTCTAAGCCATACTTGACTATATAACCTCTACTTTTTTAAAAACATAACTGTTTATATAACTATCTTTTTAACTGACATGCCTAAATAATGTAAAGATATATTTATAGATATTTACATTTTTACATTATTCATGTTATTATAAGATTAATCAAATCAAGATAGTCAAATTATCTAATCTAAAGTCTGAGTCTTGGTAAAAAAAAAAGAGATTTTCGCACACCTGTAATGAGAGTAAAAAAACCTTATCATGGTGCTTCTTGTTTGCCATGTGTGTGTGCTTTTTTTTTTTTTTTTTTTAACGAAACTCAATTCCATTAAATACATAAATAAAATCTGTATAGGTTTCATGGTTACATATCATATTTATATAACTATCGTTTAAACTGACATACACGTATAGGCTTCATAAAAAAATACAATATTAGCTATGTCCTAACGGCACAATATGATTGTGATGTCATTAACATGACATCATAATGGCGATTTTTAGCAATAAATAAGCTTATGTTTTGAACATTTTGGTTAATTTGGTAATGAGCCCGAGCGTCGCTGCAAAAGATTTATTTGTCAACAAGTTATGTTCTTCATGTGTTAATGTATTTTTGAGCGACGCTTGTGTTCTATATTTCTTCTTAGCATTTCCGTGTCAGATTGTCTCAATGTATGACAAACTCGCCACTTTTTTGCTATGACTGTTTATCATAGATGTATTACAAATGAATAGTAAATATATTTAAACTAAAACTGCAATGTTCAATGTACATTGACTCAATTAGGCCCCAACTCGTACCTTGTACTTAAGATTAACTGTAATTGCCAAACATGTACATATGGTAAGTAATCAGTTTATTCCATAGATTTCATTTCAAATAGTTGTTTTGTGAAATTCAAATTCTTTCTTATGTTCATGGCAACACTTATTCCAATCAAATATTGCAAAAGGGATGAAGTAAAATTTCTACCCACTAGAGTGATTTTTTTCTGAAAGCATCAACGTTCATCCATCGAAAGTTCATATAATCAAAGGATTATCAGTGCTAGAAGTACTTTCGGACTTGTCAGTCTTGAATATTCAGTTCTTAGTAAGTCTATTTATTGCTAAATGTTTTAATCGAAGAAATTGTTGGAAGTTCCTTTTTGCTGTATTTTTCTAAAAGAAATATGCATTTTGGAAAATTTAGAAAAAAACATATACATGTATAAAGATAATATAAAAATAAGAAGATGTGGTATGATTGCCAAATAAGTAATTATAGGTCAACCTACCGCCTTCAACAATAAGCAAAGCCCATACCGCATAGTAAGCTATAAAAGGCCCCGAAATTACAAATGTAAACCAATTCAAACGAGAAAACTAACGGCCTAATTTATGTACAAAATAATGAATGAAAAACAAATATGTTACACAGCAACAAACGACAAACACTGAATTACAGGCTCCTGACTTGGGATAGGCACATACAGAATGTAGCGGGGTTAAACTTGTTAGAAGGCGCCAAACCCTCACCCTAGCCTGTGACAATGGTGTAACAGTACAACATAAGAACAAACTATAAACATCAGTTGAAAAAGGCTTAACTCAGATGGATACAAATAGAAATACACAAAACAAAACAAAAACACAGAGTGGACGTGGACGGGTACTTATACATCTACACATAAGAAAGATACTAGGTACAGATCTGAGAGTAATCGCAGTTACTGACATCTATCCAAAAGCAATAAAAACTTATGAAATAAATCATGTAACTAAGACTAAAATATCAATCAGTACTTATCTAACATCCATTGGATTTAGTGTAGAGACGCCAAAAACAGTTATAGAAAAACACGCCCTTTTGCAATGCCAAGGTACAGGTATCGACAGATGGTAGAGCCATGAATGTGCACATGTATATAAAAATAATATCTAGATTGATATTAATTTACTGATAACAAAATAAATCAATATTAATTCCACTACATACAATATTCAAAGATCTAATTACAGTTTTGAATCGGTAACCTTTTAGAATAAGTTTATTTGAAGGACCGATAAGTTTACCCGGCTCGGCAAACAACATCTCCAGAATAATGAGGATGTGCTAACCCGTTTGAAATAAGTTTTCTACAGGTACAACCAAACTGCAAAACCAAATATTTATATCTATGGAAGAATTTAGTAAAGGTTTTAAGTAATTTGTGGTAACGAAATCCCTGACGACATAATACCAGTTATACATAGATTACCTTCATTGGAATCCAAAACGTTTCAACAGACACGGGCATAGCAAACGAGTTGTGATATATTAACACCATAAGACGGTGCCCAAAGTACCATCACCGTCTAAAAAGGAAAATTAACAATAGGGAACGAATAATCGTCCCTTTTGTCGTAAATTTTAGTGTAGAGTTTCCCGTGTAATACTGAAATATCTAAATCTAGGAAAGGACAGTTTTTACCGTTTATATATTTGATTTATTTAAAGTAAGTTCTTTTGGGTAAATTTCGGTTGTATATTCAGAAAATGTTTGATTATTTAAGGAAAAAATATCATCAAGATAACGGTAAGTGTTGATGAATTTATCAATTGAATGCGATTAAGACAGGTCTTTACTGAGTTTGGTCATAAAATGTGATTCATATCAGTACAATAACAAGTCTGTTATTTAAGGGAATTGGTGCCCATAGGAATACCTATAACCTGTCGATAAACTTTATTGACGAAACGTACATAAATGTTATCAGAAAATTAATTTACAGCCTCAATCATCTCATCACACCTCCAGTAATTAAATCTATCATATTTACCTTCTCATTACAGAATAAGGCTTTAAATGGGTTGCAGCAAATATATTTGCATTCAGATTTACCAAACGACCATTTAATTAAATAGGAAAACTTTTGCGTAATAAGATTGTGTGGAAGTGTAATGTTAGTATAGTATGAATCAAATTTAAGGGAATAAATATTTAAGCTTGAGTGCGGATTAAATTATTTGTTTGTCTTGTTTTTGGTAATTATTCAAATTTACTTCATTTCACTGAAATCAGCTTGCAGCCACGTGGTAATGCAAAAAATAAAGAAAAATTAAAATGTATAAATTTTATATACGAGTTACTTACATATGATTAATAGCATGTTTTATCTTGTGTGATGTAGAATTACAAGGTAGTACGTGAGTACAGGAATATACGCCATACTTGTCATCAATCCATTAAGAAATGTAATGTTATGAATAATTTATTTACTAAATAAATCTTCAATGACAAATAATTTATTTTTACATAATTCAACTCTTCTGTTGTCCTCAATAACCTGTTGTGATTAAGTACATGGGGGAATGATCATTAATGTAAACATATCAAGTAATTTTTATCAAATTGTGATAATTTCTACTTTTTAGACTGTCCTGAACCTTTAAACCAAAATACATTTTTTATAAACTTGTTTTACTCATTAATAAATTATTTCATTTCAAGTCATTTTGCATTATATCAGGAGCAGATAAAACAACATTTAATTGCAAAAGGAAGTACACCACTAATTCATGGCCCCATTGCTTTCTATGTTAAATTCCCCAATTTCAATCAGGAAAAGCCCTTTTGTTTTAAGTTCAAATAAAGTGACAATCATTGCATGTCAAGGCAACACTTTATGGTTCCTTGTACTGAAAAAAATCAACATACCTTTAATGGCATATAAGAAAGAACTGGTTCCAGTGGCGTAGCAAGGCCATTTTAAAGTGTACGCCCGAACCTCTTTTTTTGATGTCCCTAATCTAATCAAAGACAGAAGACCTCCTGGTAGGGGGGCGAAACCCACTGGAAGTTCATGCGTTATTGAGAAATAGATACAATTATTTGTCATTAAATTCTGTTCCTAATCAACATACTTGTTCGGTTAAGAACAATACTTTACGGCAAAAAAGATGATTTCAGCTTCCAATTGTGAACTTTTTTTTCTATGCAACATTCCAGCAGCACCTGTATATGGAGTATATACTCCCAGTTGATAAGATCTTCCATAGCTTGCATTTCCTATCTTGATTTTCTTGATAGATTTTCTTGATTGTTGGTTGCTTCTTGGCAGAGGGTTGCTGCTTACCAGGAAGCTACCGAACCCAGAAATCCAAGTGATGAAGTGAAATCATGCCGCCGAAAAAAATTTACGGTCTGCATCACGAGTAGGTTGACCGTTATGAAATATCTGTTTCACAGATGGCTGATGACGACGGATATGTTCCAATTGTTGATTTTACCACAATCCAGTCTTCTTATCCTCAAAAGTTACCTACCGAATTAAACCTATCACTAAGTTGGAACTTATATCAGCAACACGAAGGATGCCATACATCTCTTTTATACAGACATAGTAAAAAGCAAGCCTCCATTTCAATGTTGTCGTTCTATTCCTTTTTTTTTTTACCT